CCCCCCCCCTCCCCACCCCCTCCGAGAGCCCCCCGGGCAGCACCCCCAGCCCTGCCTCGGGCTGCGCTCCCCTCCCCGCCGCATCCCCCCCGGCCCCCGGCCCCCCGGGGGTGCTGGGGGGGGGTTTGGGGGTGCAGGACTTACTTTCCATGCCCACTTAGTTTCAACTAGGGAATCAAGAGAAGCAAAAGCAATTTTTTCCCTTTTTGACACCCGCCTCCCCATTGGCTCCCCCCGGGTCAGCTGACTGTGTCATTCTGTCTGTCCTGGAGCAGAGCCTTCCCTATAACAATCTAGTTCAGACTACAAACTGGAGACAGAAATAAATATTAAAGAAATCACACAGCCAGGTATAGAGGACGATATGAATTCCTATTTTACAAACCCATCTTTATCCTGCCATCTAACCAGTGGCCAAGAGGTGCTTCCCAACGTAGCCCTCAATTCAACTGCCTATGACCCTGTCAGGCATTTTTCTACTTATGGAGCAGCCGTTGCTCAAAACCGGATTTATTCTTCTCCTTTTTATTCACCGCAAGATAATGTTGTGTTTAGCTCCAGCCGAGGACCTTATGACTATGGATCTAATGCTTTTTACCAAGAAAAAGACATGCTTTCTAGCTGCAGGCAAAATTCTATGGGACATAATACACAGACATCAATCGCACAGGATTTTACCAGTGACCAAAACAGGAACACTTCGCAAGAACAAAAAACTAGCATTCAAATATACCCCTGGATGCAGCGTATGAACTCCCACAGTGGTAAGTTTTACAGCTCGGAGATATAAATTAAATAAACTGAACCATCTTTACGACCTTCTCCCTAGCAGAACAGGCTGAGCGACTTTTTATGGCCCCATAAAAACAATAATATAGCTCCTTCACAGTTGCAGCTACAGGCCTTTTATTTGTTAAGTTGTTGCAAGCAAATATGGCTTGTTATGCTCTTTCTAATTAAAAGACTTCGAGAGTGTAAAATATCGATAATAAAGTGCAGCGAGCTCTGCTCGGGAGTTTAAGCACAAAATATTACCGGGGTAAAAATAAGTTTTAATGACGGGTGCGGGAAGTGCGGTGGCGGCGGGGTCCCCGCACGAGCAGGGGCCGGGGGGAAGCTGCCACTTCCCCCCCCTCCCCTCCCGCGACCCCCGCCGCCCCTTTCCCGGCTCCCCCAAACCCCTCCAAAAGGCAGGAATAAGGTGGGAAGCAGAAGTTGGGGCGGCGGTGGGGCCGGAGGGGTGGGGGGGGGCGGCGGCGGTGGCGTAGGAAAAGCAGCAGCACCCCGGGAGAAAAATGCCCCGGGAGAAAAGGGCTGCGAGCAGAGGGTTAATTTAATCACCCAAAAAAAAAAAAAAAAAAAAAAAAAAAAAAAAAAAAAAAAAAAGAAAAAGGGAAAAAAAAGAAAAAGGGGAAAAAAAAAGAAAA